GGTGCTAAGGTGAAACGCGACGTACAAGGGAAAAAGAATCCCGAAACTCAACTCGTGCTTATGGACAAAGGAGCGTTCCATTGCCGTATTGGGCGGAACAGCTTGCTGGAGGATCGCCAGTTCTATTTCATCAAAAAATGGCATTCAAGGGACATTTCAACGGCGTCGTCCACGACGTATAATTCGCGATGGAGAAGGAAGAAAGCAACCGACTAGTCTGCCGCAAAGATTGTGGTGGCCTAATAACTATAATATTTCGAAAAGTGACCAATACAGCCCAAGTACTGAGTTCCAACAGCAACCACCGGATCAGATACAAACGCAGTTGCGTATATGGGCTATATTGGCATGTCGTAATCCACTGCAAAAAAACATAAGAATAGGTTACCCAATGGCAATACATTCAAAGGGCTACCTGCGCGTCGACAGTCGCTTGCATAATCAAAACTAGAGACCTACCATACCAGGCCCAAGTTTTTGCAAGCGCTGTCGAACGTGATTAAAGCCTCGGGAGCCATTATTTGTATTTTTCACACCACTCGGAGATTCACACCGACTAGAAGCAAAGACCAGGCGCCAAGTGAGGTCAAAAGACGTACTGCCGAGGCAGGAAACGTCTGGAGTTCCTTGTCGAATTAGGTGTAATTGTGGGAAAAGTAACTACGTCGTAAAAAATCGAAAACTACTCCGCACGCGGAAAGTCGGATATCCGACAGCACTGAGGAGGAATAACACTAACTCTCAGGCCGCGGCTCATGCGACGGAACCCAGCCGCACCTTTAAGTATTCCGAGACCAAGGTTTTCGGAAGCGCTAACAACCACGCGAGCTGTAAAATGCTCGGTTTTTGGTTCTCCTGTCTGTAATTGCAGCAATAACCTCGAAACTCTATATTCTGTGCTGAGACTCTGTCTAGGCGGAATACAGTACTTTTCGGACAATAAGGCGCACTTAAAAGCTTTTAATTTCCTTAAAAAGCGGTAGTGCGCCCTATATATCGATTAATTTCGGCTACTGACATCGATTTTGTGGTACAGGGCACTGTGGTAATCCGTAGTCAGGAGAGTCGCGGAGTAATATATACTGAGCTTCAGTATATTACAAATAAAAAGGTCGGCTTATTGTGAATACACCCACTAACGTTTGAGTAATGTTGCGAATTATTTTGAATACGTTCAGTAAGGTTTTACTGACTGACTTATGTGACTGTTTTGTTCCCCTTAATGCACCTTACAGTCCGATGCACTTTATATAATAAGAAAGTTCGAAAATAAACTATTCATTGTCAGTGCGCCTTATAATCCAGTGCGCTTTGCAGTACGGAAAATATGGTAATAAGCCAGGCACAGAAAACGCGGAAAATTAAACGATTCAGTGACAGCGAGCCAAACTTTCGAGTCATCATCAAGTCAAGAATCGAGAACGATAGTTAACTACTCGGACACGGACTAACAAACAATCATCGCATAATGTACAACCACCAACTGTGAACGCTAGATCTGCTAATTTGAGTAGGAATGTGGCGACATGGCAACTGCATTCTATGAATACTGCACCCTTGTTGTCGTTATCTATGACGGCATCTGAAGATGGGCTCGGATTAAAACGCGAAACGTCAGGTTTATAAACGTTATATTTCAATCATCACATTTTCTTCTTCAGAAAGAATACTAGTGCGGTCGGGTACGGAAAAAAGTGGATGATGGAAATACGTATGAAGAAAATAGCCAAGTGAGATCATTCGTGCCCTGAGGGTGGCTGACTGCAAGCAGACAATCAACTGATTTGTTTTTCATGTAGGCTGCGATGTATAAAAAGAAACCGGACAACCAGTTTAATCGTGTACGCATATCAGTTTATTTCAGATAAAGGTGTACATTTTAACTCCCTCTATTAGATAGTTATCGATATGCTAGCTACAAAGTTTAAGAATGTAAAGAAAAAATACTATTCTCGTGCCGTTCACACTACCGAAAATCTACAACTAAACATTGGATGAGGTCCATACAGATCAAATTGCGGACGTCGGCATAATGGGGTCAATTAAAGATTATTTAGCCAGTTATGAAAACAGTACAATTTAAGTATATTCAATGCAGCATGACTAACTTTTCGAGCAGCTTCCATTTCGCCCGTGGCGGTACGGTATTTTTCGGAAAGGTTCTGGTAACCGGCAGTCTTTATAAGAAGGCTCTTGTGCTTTACTTTTCCCAGAGTTCGGCAGCGCCTTACAGCCTGGTTATTCTGCTTGCGCCGGATAGCATATTCCAGCGATTCTTTTTCCTCCACTGGAACTGGTTTGTAACTTCGCCGGAGCTCTGTAACACCATCTGAGGTACTAGAGCCGCTAGTAATGCTTCCAGTGGGTTTGGCGTCAAACAAGCCGGGATCAATATCCAATGGAGTATCACAGAAGTCCATTTTACAACAAATG